GTTGTTGGTTGAAGTATGATAACTATGCGATTACCGATCCACAACCAGCTCAAAGAAGTCCAGGAAATCTACCTCCAGATTTCTCCAATGCAGTCCTATTTCACAATCCTTCCTTCCGATTCAGTTTCTTCAGCAGGAATCCATCAGTGAATGTGCCCACTATGACTAGTTTAGTGGAATGGGAGATGAGCTGAATGGAAATCAAGGATCTGAGGGGGTTGTAGGCCCGTATTCATAGGCTGGGCCATGCTTGGCTAGGCCATATAGGCTGGGCCGGCCTATCAGGTGGCAGGTACTTAGCCTATACGGCCTATAGCTGGGCCCGGCCAGGCCAGGCCCAGGCTTTTCAAAGCCTATGGCTCCGGCCGGGCTAAATCCCCCATAGTTGTGGCAGGCCGGGCCCGGCTTCGGTTCAGCCTGGCCTACCCGGCCCGTTGGGAACACTGTACAGTAGCTAATTCTTAGATTTCTTGGAACTACCCTTGTAAATATTGTGCTCGAGAAAGGTGCTTACAAAATCATACTATAATGGAGGCATGAAAGTGCAGTGGAGGCGGGAGTTTGTGGCCCTCAATTCCAAGTCCAATTTTGGAGTTTTTGCACCTCGACTGGGTGGGACTAAAGAGCCAAGCAGTCAGGCCTTGTCCTTAACTGATATTTGATATTGACACTGTTGTGATGGAGGCTGCTATCAGAATGCGCAGTGGTAATAGAATGGAACAGTAAATAGACTAGTTCTGGTAGGATAACTAAGAAATGTGCCTGCTTCGTCTCGTGCTCACTCTTCTCTAGCTAATCGGTAATGACAGGTGTATAAGGAAAACATCATCAAAGCAATCTGATCCCTCCATGGACCACTACAACCATCTCTGTCATAACAAAGGAAAGACATATCTCTAGAATCCGCTTCCAACCTTCAAACAAGTCTATCATACTGCTAGACACTGAAACATACTCCCACAACTTCTTTAAACAACCTTGTCCTTCCAGCGCACTTCCCGTCCCTTCCATGACCAACCACAACACACTATCTCTCGTGACTTCAACAAACACCACCCCGGTCTCGCTGCGCAAACCCTCAAATAATGAGAAACACGCTCTTTCTAAACTACTTGTGATTGTTGCCTTGTATTTCCACTATGTTGTGGAATCCTCTCGGTTCGTTTGTGCTTGAGTTTCCAGCAACCCCGGGTCTCCATACTTTCATTGATGGCGTGGTGGGGGGTTGACCAGCGGGGACAAAGCTGTATCTGGAGGTGTGGTGAGTGTAAAACCCCCTATAAGAGGGCTTAGCCAACTATCAAACACTGGGAAACTACGGGTATTTGTAGGGAAATCCTACCGTAGTCAACTATCCCATTATCCATTGTGTTCTGCTCTGCAGGAACCCTCGGTCCTCCCACCCACACTACCCTAAGTCAATTGCGCCCGCCATGCTCGAGGCACATCTCGGTGGGATTCCCGGGGCCCTCGGGTAAGCGGTGGTATCAGCAATACAACTCCGAAATACTCGGGCGCCTCCTCCATCCGGCTTCTACTCCATTCGCTCGTGCTACTAGACATACAACCAAAAACAAACAGGAAAAGCGTGGCTTACTATGCAGGTGGGATGAAACTTTATTTGGATCCCTCAGGATCTTTCCGTATGAAGACGATGCGTCAGGCAAATAGTTATCAAAGGCATCCCACCTGGGTACTCTCCGGATGCCGAAGCCTCGACATCAGAATGTCAGTATGGGGCGAGCCCACCACGGGAGCCGATTACTTCTGCCGGGGGCGTAGGACGAGGGGTGAGGAGAGCGGGAGGGAGAATCCTCACTAGAGGCGGACACTGATGGATAGTAATCCCAGTAGTAGAGTGTTGTAGTGTTGGCGGAACAGGAACACAGGTATGTGTAGAGACTTGTATGAGAAATGTGTGAGGGGAGGTATACCTGTGTGTGATGCAAAAGACTGCAGATGAGTGTGTGGGTCTGCCCTCTTGCGGTGTCTTCCTACCTATCTATTATATAATTTATATAGCTAGCCACCTTCGATAGAAATAACTACACACTTATCTACACATTCGAGTCGACCAACGGGCTGTGCGCGTCTACTACCACTATAGGATACTGCTGGTGAGCAAAGATGGAGTTGTTGTGCGATGGAGTCCCGAATGGAGAGGTGCCGGTGGCCAGGGAAATAATTGACTGATGCTCCATTAGAGCTTATGGCCTCTTCACCCGGATGTATTTTAAGTAATCTTATCAAGATTGGGGCCTTACTTTCATAAAGTTCAGTGGGAGCGAATCAGATGGGCAAACTACCCTAGCTATCAGAGGGCAAGAACTCTCGAATGGTTCCGTTCACGTTGTGTGATAGCGACATGGCTGCCGAACCTAAGAGTCCCAACGCAGGCATGGGCAATGCCAACGAAAGGAAGATAAGCTAAAGTAACTACCCCACTGCGTGTTCGGGGACGGATTTGGTTTGAATGGATATCAAAAGCTTTTTTGTGTGAGGGGAACGAAATGATGTTGATGTACGGGGAAGAGAGAAATAGGAGCGGAGATAGTGAGAATGAGAGGGTTAGCTAGGACAAAGAGTAATTTTTTGTAGCATACTTGTGCTGAAATAGATTTTTTACATCCTGATTCGCACATGGCACATCGCAGTAGCTTGCGTATCCTCCGGCCTACCTCGAACCCATGTTGGTCCCGCTTGCGTAGGCGGGCATCAGAGGCTCCTAGCACAGCCCTGTAGAGTCACTTGCTATAGATTGCCATTTCGAGTGATTCACTATGATTATCTAGGGTAGCCATGGTAGGGCCCTACCCCGTAGTGAATAACTCGTACCCCTCGCATCCCAAATACTCTGCGAGAGCTCAGTAAATGCCAGCGCATTGTTTCCTTCACCGAAAATAAGGCCTAAGATATTCCTGAAGGCAACTCTGGCTTTCCTTTGTTGGCGTTTGGGGGTATCGGGGCAAGCTATTTGTTTGGTTGTTTTTCTTGTTCTTAGATAGAGCCGGATATCTGTCTACCTGTGAAGATTTTGTCAGAAACAGCCATCAGGGAAAATGAAATCGGGGCGCCTCCACCAAGGGCTAGGATCTCCCCTTCCTTAAAATTGGTTCACCAACCCCCGCCCCCTCTCTGGTGTCTGTTTTTCTTCTTCTTTCGATTGTGCGGTTGTGATATCCCTCGCAGTAGTGTAGATATCGTGTCGAATATCCCTGCATTGGGATAAAATCCAACTGGCGGTGACTGTTGCACTGACGCTCCGGGAGGTTTTAATGCTGGCTAGTCTGTTGAACAGGAATACCAGTTTGTCCAACGGAGGGTGTAAAAATACGCGCCCGGAGACCGGCTGGGTTCTCCAAAAGTGAGTCCTTCCCTTGGACAGCCTCCCTATTCCCAAGCTCCTTGGTATCTCTGGGGCGGCACCGCCGAGTAACAGTTAAGCCACCCTCCGACGCATAGCCAACAGCTCCATCTTAATTTTATTATTGTGCTCCACTACAACCATCCAACAGTATTACCCTCACCTAGCCACTCTAACCCCTTTCCCTTCTCTTTCTTCTCTTCCTAGGTGTAGCAACACCGAAATTCCAGGCAACCCTCATTCTTCAGCAGTCATGGTCTTCCCGAATGCAATACGAGGCATTCGGAGAAGCTGTTGGCAGATTCTAAAGGTTGTGTGAGAGAGCAAGAATTGATGGAAAAAGAAAAAAATGAATGAAGTAGAGAACCACAATCGCTAAGCTAAAGCGCTCTGAGTTGTCCACCAATTATCTTCAGTTAATAGATTGCGATCGTCTAATTTTCAGTTCGAGACTCAGAAATGATGTGAACTCCCAACCCAGCCCAGGAGTTATTGAGCACGGCGCGGTGAGGGGTATTCTGTGTCACTGGGGTCTCCATGGTCACTCATAGAGCTTTGCACTGGCTAAACTTGGAAGCGGGTGACTTCTACCTCCCGGTGAGGCAACCTTTGGTTTCCCCTCCCCCGATCACCGCAGTGAAGTATTTTCTTAGGGTAAAAAGTTGCAAGGATAGCACAACCCTTTCCTGGCTTTTGAGGACAGGAGAGCGAGGAATGGGGAGGAAGCATCATCACCACAGTACGCGCACAGGCATTTCATGCTACAGGAAAGAAGATATCTCGTGGGGAGATCAGTAGACAACACCAAGTAAATCCTTTTAGATGCATACGTCGCATGGGAAAGTGGGGGTTAATACTGATACGCCTTTTGGTATGACTGCTTGCTGCTCTTCTGAAGCAATTTGGTGTTTGCTGAAACACAAGTTCACCGTTGACTCTTAGGTCCTGTGTTTCGTTTTGCTTTTCCTCTGTATAATATCTCTTGCATTCTAGTTTTGATCGGGAATAAATATGCTCTGCAAGGGACGACCAGTCTACAATATTTTGTCTTTTCTCACACTGCAGAGGTGAACTAATTAGGGCTGCTAAACTTACCTATTATCCTGCGGCCTGCGTGGGGAAGGAAGGGATACGGATAGCCACACTTAGGTCATGTATGGTGCTCGAGTTGGCTGGGTTCAGGGCAGTCCTGTTTAGGGTGTTGGTATATATGTTTTCCTTCTTAGCTAGCTTTTCTTCTCTCTTCGAGTAGCATCTATGATCTCTCCTCCATCTCCGCCACGGTCCACGCTCCATATCACAGCAAAAACTCCCCAGGAACAGTGGAGTCAGCGACTTCTTTCTATAGTACAATTAGGAACCTGTAAGTTGGTAACCTTCGGCGTTTAGGCTGGGGTGGTGTAAAGCTTAAAGGCGGCTAGAGACTATATGATCGAGTATGACCATACAAAAGGTGCAATGTAGCCAGGTTTGCCCTTGATTCTCACCGCTTTCTTAATCCCATAAAATTTCTATTTCAAATTTCTTTTTGCCCTAGTATCATGCTTACAGGTGAGAGTATAACGTTGGTAAGGGCTGTGGCGCACATAAAGAGCGCATGGAACCCCCGACAAGATATCACGTTTTTAAGCTCTATGATTTCGGGAGGTCTTACAATAGCCAATTCTTGAATACCTTGTAACCGCTCCCAAAATTGTGCCCGAGTATTCGAGGGGCGGAGCTGTAAACTAATACACCGATGATGATAGAGTGTGGTGGAATTTGGCACCAAGGGGGCTCCATTAGAGGCGGGGTTATGGATCTATCATAGATGGCCAAGCCTTGTCGTTACCTCCTGTGAGTGCAACCTAGATCTGTGCGCCCAAACCCTCTATTGTGTGGTGGGGGGATATTCTCTAGCCCATTTCTACCGCCCGATTTGGGAATTCGAGAGACATTCTTTGTCGTATCATACAAAGTCAAAATAAGCACCACTGGAAACTTTTCCGCCTTAGCAACCCTACCCCCATCTAATCCATAAAAGTTTCAATCCAAGCTGAGGCACCCAGGAAAATCACCTGGTTTCATCATGTCACAAAAAGAGGGAAGAAAAGAAAGGCAGATTCGATGGTGCGAAATCCTACAGGATAAAACCCTATCGCAAGTACCCCCATCCCCAACACCACACCCACCTTTTGCCCTAATGTGTCCCACTGCCCCTCTATGTCCCATCGTATATCCACTAGGGCACCCGCTCCCACACTAGACATGCCTAAATATAGCGGTTAGCACGGGAAATCATACAACATCTAGTACCCTCTGGTCTCACCTTCATTGTCATCCCTTTAAACCTGTTCCCGAAAGACATCGGATTCCTCCTCAAGCATGTCCGAAATCCCTCTCTTCACACTGCCCAGCTATACCCTGCGTACCCGTCGGGATAGGTGTCCCGAGTGATTAGTCCATATTCCAACCACCCGTCGAATGGGTTTGAAACCGCATTGGGTTCCACCCACGAGTTCTGCGGATCGACCAAGATGGCCGATCCGGACCAATCAGCATCAATTACCCCCCAGTCTAGATACCCCCCAAGTGCCGGGGACTCGGAATCTAAATGGTAGCCTGTGGTGAATTCAGCACAGGCGCCGACGGCCGCAGCATTAATGGGTTCTGAATCTCCAGCATAGCTCGTCACCACCATATTCAGATCTAGTATAAGCGATTTTAGCCCTCGCTACATGATATAACATAGAATTCAACAAGAAAGGATAAGCTGAACAAACCGCTCCCACTACTAGACAACAAGGACAACTCCCGAAGAAGCTCGTCCACATTTGGGGGTATCGACATGATCGCAGAACCCAAGTATCCCAAAGCAAGTGTGGACAGTGTCAGCAAAAGGAAGAGAGAGTAAAGTAGCCATCCAAGGGCTCGAGCGGGGGCGGGAATAATTTGGATGACGACCAAAAGCATTATGTGTGATGAAGATACAATGGAGTTGATGAATGGAAAGGAGGGAACGAGGGGCCATGAAGAGGGTACGAGAAATTTAAATAAGAGGAAGCCTGTTTTCGGAGCATAAGTGGCTCAATCTGATGGAATTGTTTGCGTCCCGATTCGTGCGTGCAGTAGTCTCTCCCACCTAATCCTGACTCGCTCTCTAACTTTAGAGGCTACACATCTCCCTTAGGGCCCAGAAGTCAGGTAGAGTTTCGCTGCATGAGCGCGCTAGAAATAGCGGCTTCTCAGCGCCCTTCTAGAAGACAGTCTAGCTCACATGCAGTGTGTTGTAGTCGTCGAGATGTCTTCACTGCGAAGCTTGGCCTCGGGTGGATGGTTCGGAGTGACTGCTGAGAAAGGTTTTCTCTCCTCGCTCTTCATTGCCGCATGCAGCATAAACTAGTGAAACCCGTTTTCACGCTAAGACATCTCCCCAAAAGAAGGTATGGCGTGATGCATGAACCCGTTTGAGTAGAGGGTATCCTTTGCGGCATGATTTTTGCAAACATTTCCAATAGGGCCTTTTTCCAAGACTTTCCAATTCTTTTTTTTTTAAAGGAAACAACTAACAAAGAAGGGTTACTTTTTCGGAGATCCTGACACAAGTCTTAGTCTGACCTCTCAGGGCGAAAAGGTGCTTCACCGGTTTTTGCGATCCCGTAATTTATCAAACGACTACATATCTCGAGTACAACACTTAATCGCTTTGACGGGTGATGAGTTATGATTTTCCAAAGGATTTCCGACCCACGAGAGAACGAAATTCTGGAAATAAGAAAATCTCGGATAGGCGCGGCATATATGCCTAGTTTGACATTCAGCAGTCCGATCGCTATCCTATCGGGCGTCGAGAACTACGGTATCGAGTTTCCCAGAGTACTCGTATATGCCTGTACGGGATCATATTTGACATTACTACTCGTACTCGTACTTGTACTATGACATTGCCTAGCTCTGTGATACGCACCTGGATCTAGCTAGTGTCCGGTTGACTAACCCTTTGTGGAAGAGAGTTATCCAACAAGGCGGGGTAAAGGGATTTACGATTGTCTTCATAAATAAACAGGGAGAAACCCGCAATCTTGGGGAAAAGAAATTGTATATCTTGTCTGCCCTCAAATAGTTCTGTAATGCTACGGTATGACCCTCCGTCACAATCCCTGCGACAGCCCCCTCAATCAACCCCCCCATCGCCAAAGCCTCCACACCGCGATACCGGTGACTCCAAAACCCCCCGTCACGAACCAAGTGAACCCCACTCGCAAGTGAGCCCTTCTCCCTCCGCGAGGGGTGGGGAAAGAAAGGGAAAAAAGAGAGGGGATCTATGATAAGTCATAACTACCGACAGTTTGGAACCAGAGTGTGATTCCAAGTGCAAAAAAATGAGTTAAAGTAGTCAACCAAGTGCAGTACCAGCCCGATTGTCTAGCAGAATAGCTTGCTAGGCACGTCACAAAACACGGGGTGGATTTTCGGGGGTCCCCCACAGGGATGGCAGCCGGATCGGTAGGGGGTGCCAGGTTTTTACCCTTGGGTCACGGCAGTGGCGATGCGTATGGGTGAAGAGCTGTGGGGTGGTGAACCTTGTGGGGTTCGAGATGTGAGAACTGGCCGGGTGTAAGGGTTTTCCTAGGCTTGGTGTCAGTAGAATAACTACGAAACATCTGGTGAATATGAAGGCAAGTTTTTTTGTGTTCCCTGTCATATTTTTCTTCTGCGCTATTCGTGGGCCTGCTGGAGACACAAGAGCCTTGTCATAGTACCGGATTAAAGTCCCATTTTTCGGGTGGGTCGCCATCAAGCCAGGAGGGGCCCCAATCCGCTGGCCTGTGCCGGTCCCTTCCCCCTCTAAATTTATATACTCGTACATTCAGGGAACGTTGGATTTAGTGCTTATCCTCCAAACGGACTAGTTTCCTCTCATCTAGCTTCTCTAAGTACCTCCCCTGCCACTCTCTTTAACGTTGGCTACCGTTTGAGTTTTTCTTCTTCCCTTCTTCGTTGGTCTCACAATTGCACATCCATGCCATATTCAACCACAGCATAACTTTCTACTCATCATCCACAGTCCTCCCGAGGTTCTCATTTGTTCCCTTCGCCTCCGAGGTCTTTTCTAATTCTTCCCTTCTTCTGAGGATATTATACTATCAACCTCAGGGTTCGGATATTTCTCTTGTTTGTTTAGTTTTGTTTAGCATAAGAGGGCAATCTGCACATCTAGTAAGAAAATAAACCTTCTTTCTCGATAGCAGTCATATCTGTTCGTAGGGAAAGCGAGTGATAATTGATAATAGACAACCGGGGGATTGGGGGGGGGGGGGGCTCATAGTACTTCTAGATTAGTGCTATTTTGATTAAATACCCTGTCAAGCTGACCAGTATGCAAGAGATATTCCAACACAGTGTGAGGGGTGTTAAGCGCTACTAAAGTTACATCATTTTGATGGCCAAGAGTAGGGGTCGGGTGCGAAATATGTTACTTCTGAGAACTATTTTCAGGTGTCTTTCCAGGAGCCTTCTCGGTTTGTTGCTGTTCTTTATCCAGTAGAACTCATTGTAGCGGGCATCGAGCAATGGCTGAACCATTATATTAGCTTCTAGAATATTCTTCCTGGAGGTATCCGTAATGTCAATGGCTATTCGCTTGATTGGCCCTGTAATATATGGGCACAAGAACGATTGACCTGGAATATGGGAGCTGAGACCTCGCCTCTTTCAAGCAAGTAGTCCCCAACTCTCTGCCATAGTCCCCCGTTGTCCCCTACCATCCTTCATAACCACCCGTAGTCCTTGGACGGCCCCAGCGGCCCTCTAACTGCCCCAACGTATATGTGTCCTACCCTGCAGGGCCCCTCCCTCCGGCCCAAAGACACCCCTCCTGGATGGACTATGATATGCTGTCTCGTCTGATCCGGGGCTCTTGGATGTCTCCCGCTTGGGCCATGTGGGGCCCCTTGGCTGCTGGAAATGATGGCTATATCGAAAAACTATTTAGTAAAGAATCTACGCAACCAAATCTACCATAAGCATACTCGCCTTACGATAAATTTTGATAATCACTTTGGAGACGTCTATCGCAGGTCGTAAGAAAAAAAAAAAATGCTAGCCACCAAAAACGACGATTCCGGACCGGGTTCAAAAATTAAGAAAAAAACGGAAAAGAAGCTTTGCTGGCCGCACTTAGAATGGAAAAGAAAGTGAATGCCCACAAAGACGGAGAAACAGGATAACAGCACGGTCCTTTGGCTATTATCGAATCACAATTCCTCCCCCCCAATACCGTACCCTTTCTTTCCTCCGCTTCTTGCACCGTAGTTTCTCTAGTTCATGCAAGCCCGGTCGGACGGACGTTTCATGTCTGCGGTTCCCGGTTCGGTGTTCGTTCGTGTTCAAAGTTTGATTCTCAATGTGTCTATCCAGAAAAGGAAGGGGTGAAGACTCCCCCCCGTGCGCTTCCGGCCACTTGCCTGTATGGGTATAGGTCTTTGTTCGGGGCATTGAATCTTGTCTTGATTTTTCTTCTTTCTTTTCTGGTTTGTTTTGTCCCCCTGGCCATAGTAGAATATTTTTTCGTGTTCTGATATTAGTTGACTAACAATTCTCTGTTTATGCTCTTTTCCAGCTACTTTTACCTTTTTTCTTTATTGAGATACTCTTGAATATGGGCTGAGCTTCTGTCCGCTTTAACTCTGTTCAGTTGTCGGGGTTGTTCCGGAAACAGGTCTCTCCGTAAGTGCTAGCGCCTCGACTTCATTTTCTCATACCAATATCCACAAGTAAATTGAGATGGGTAAGAGCCGCCTGTGAGGAATCTCTTGACCATCGCGAAAGGCCTGACTTTCTGTGAGGAAATCAACATGCAGGCATTACGAAGCATGGGACGTACGGTTTTTTTCGAGCTCCTTTGCAAATCAGTGTAGGGACTCACATTCTTTGGTGGATTCCTCTTTCCCGTAGGCGTTGGATCCCCGAGGCTTGGCCAGAGGTGCACACACGTCACGAATTGGAAGTGCTATGGTACGGCGGGTCGGAAATAGTAATGGCGATTGGGCCCTTTCACACCAAAAACAAATGGGCAAAAGCCCGCCCTTCAATCGCCCTTAGCTAATCAAAAACAGGCTCTCGGCGGTTTTCCGAAATCGCCGATTGAGTGTGTTTTTATCTTGTGGTCGGTTTGGAGCATACCAAGCGCTAACTGATGGTCATAGTGATGCAAGAGTGTAAAGTTGTAACATTTCTTAAAAGTTAGCATTGCCGTCAATTTTCTAAGACAATCACCCACCCAATAATGTTGCAGTCTTTGGTGAGTTGCAACGTGATAAGGGAGGGTTGGAGGACTACGGTATCTCAGGAGTTGGGTGATAATTCCCCCAAGCATATATAACCACTTGGATAGTTTTTGGAAAGTTTCTGCCTTGTCCTGGGGTCGGATTCTAGCGAAAAATCCTTCGGAATAACGAGCTTTGGTGTGAATGTGCGCAACCCCCAAGACTCTGGCCCACCCGGTGTAGTGTCCGAACAGACCCGGTCAGGGGGTGACCGCTAGGCAGGTGGCATTGTAGTTGAAAAGTGATTAGATAGTGGCTAAAGTTGTGAATTTCGGAATGGGTGATCATACTGAGTTGATTCTAGATTAACTTGTTTTCTCAGTCTTGTTCTTACGGGACTCGTGACCCTTCTGAGAATCGCAGTGCATCACTCGCAATGTCTATCAATTGCATATGAATATGTAGGGAGGTATGATATGAGGAACTTCTATTGTGTGCCGACGCAAGAGGAACAAAAGATGGGCTCGAGGCCCACTGTGGGATACGAGCCCTCTGAGATTCAAGAAAGGGGTATTACATATGAACCACGAAGCTATGTATGAATTGGGGTACTGGCAACCCCATTCGGTCAGCATACGTATGCTCCGGAAACAGGTCATACTCCTACTTAGACCTCTTGGTCCCCTGTTCCTCCCCCACTTTTATTTCTTCTCCATACATCAACATCATTTCACTCTCATCACAAAATGCTTTGGCAGTGGAGCAAAACCATTTCCACCCCAGAGCGAGCCCTTGGGTGGCTACTTTATTTTATTTTTTTTCCTTTCGTTTTCATCGTCCATACTTGTGTTGGACTTTTGGGGTCGTTTCTCGCGTCGATACCCCACAATGTGGACGAGCTCCTTCGGGAATTGTTCTTGATGTTTTGTGGCCGGAGTGGTTCGTTCAACTTATTTTTTCCGCTTATTTGTTCTCTCTTCAGAAATATATGCTAACGCTACTTAAAACAGTTCCGGATAGAGAGATAATAGACTCTAATGGAGTTCCAGTGTCTATTAGTGCCGCGGCGGTCGTCGCCCCTGCGTCTGGGACTCTACCATACAGCAACTCGGTCCTCTACTCACCAGCAGCACCCTGCTCCGGCGAGGATTCCCCCATCTCCTCGACCTCCACCTCCATCCCTTCCGCATCCTCTCACCTGCCGTTAGCCGAGGCACTCGACACCTATGCTAGGTTCACCGCAGGTCATGATTCAGCTGCAGAATCTCGGGCACTTGAGGAGCAGAAGGCGAGGAGGACTACGATAATAATGTGTCTGACTCACTGTCTGCTTACGGTGAGATCCCGAGGGATTTGTATTTCCGCAGTGTTTCTACTGCCCGTTGGAATCTGAAAGAGCTCTAGTCCCCCTCGGCAATCTGGGTAGAGTTGGAGATCTCCGGTATGGAATGGGACTCGGAATTAAATGCCCCTGACACCTCATCGGAATACGAACTGGCCTCTCGGGACCTCTATTTTGAGGGATGCGGGATTGTACGGGGGATGACTTAAAAGGAGAGTTTTTCTGGGCACGCCTGGTGAGGAATCTGACGCTTTGGAGGTGGTTTTTAAAGGACTATGAAGGTAATGTTTGGAGGTGCTGGATGCCCCATTATAACGTGCACTGATTACTATACCTAGGCATGCCTGGTGAGGAATCCGGTGCATTAACGGGGTGGAAGAGGAAATGGATGGGGGGATGGCGTGGTATTAGGGGTGGATGGTGGTGGTGAGGAAGAGTCTTGCTGAGGTAAGATAAGAGGTTGCCTACCGGTAATCCCTGGGCACTTAGACAAACAACACGCTCTGCGGATATCTTGGCATTCGATTTGTTATCTCCAGATGCTTAGGCATTATCTGAAATCGCCAAGTCTGAATACTGACGGAGTGGGCGGGTGGGAACATCGGATATAACTTTACCAGCCTACCAAGCATGGAGAAGAGTAGCTAGATTAGGCTATGAAGAAGCTTCAGTCTAATGCCCCAATCAAGTAAGCTCCTTTCCTTATTATTCAATTCACCACATTGGTCTGAAGTTGCGTTTTCTTAGAAACAACATTCTTGTACCGAGAGTCTCAAAAAGTGGACAAGAAAGCCCTAGCTATATGGGCTAATTTTAGCCCCCACTCTGAACTCTGGCTTGTCAGCCATACCTGAGATCAATTTTTCCAACTTGGCATCTCTCTTATTGCCCCCATCAACCGGATTATCTAACTGGCGGTTTTATTAGTCTTGTGTCTGTGTATCAATATACTGTTGTCGCTACCAATGCAATTATATTAAGAAACAAGATTCAGCCTCCTCTAACACTGCTATATAATTAGTGAGATGTGTTTAAGCATACATAACCTCTGAGTTTAAGATTGTGTATCTCGGCTATAATTCTATCGCAGTTAAAGTCTAGCTAATTCTGATGTCTTGATCTATTATATTATAATTCTTGCAACGAAAGCAGTAGATTTTATGCCTAATACCACTTATTTTATATGAACTATTAGCTGGTATCTACATCCCAGCTAATTCTTAGTATCTTTGTCTTGTGGAAAAGCACAGTCGGGATGAGGAGTGATTTCCGGAGAGTGGGGATAGAGTCTATGTGGGATGGGTTTTTGTAGAAGAGCTGATTTGTATCTAGCTAGTTAGATCGGAATTTGGTCCAAGTCAGAATTTTTAAATTACTTTGTACATATCAGAGTGATAGTTCTACTTGTATATACTGTACAACCCACCAAATTCACCCTTCACTTCTTCTTATAACTCAATAGTACCTGTACGTCCCACTGCTTCCGATACCACGCCTTTGCGCAGGGACCCCCAAGCTCAAGCACACTAAGACCCCAAGTCAATCCAATATTGAAACACCATGTTACTATACCCACAGTTATGAAGTAAACTAGTTTACATCATCCTTGTTGCCTATTGGACATGCAGTTCACATCTGGGAAATAAACCAAAACCTGTCAAACAGTTCCAAACCGTTTCTTCTCTGCCATCATTCCTGAATCATTTGCTAAACTCCTAACCTATTGTGTTACAATTACTTCTATTACCTGCACAATTATGTCAACTTGAAATAACAAGAATTTAATTGGGGCTACTGTTTTCAACCCCACTGAGTTGAATGGGGTACATCTGATCCAAAGTATAGAGAAGAGTATAGCCTGACTGCCCCAGCACTATCAAGAGATAATACTGCCCATAAGGCTTACAATGCAGTTCATGGAAAGGGAAAATCCAAGATCTATAGAACCATGGAACAGGAATAGAATCAGAGTTTACTAGTACCATGAAATCCATTGCTCCAAGGCTTCCTAATAGTCCCAGACTCTTACAGAGTGCTATTGGAGGCCTTACAAGAGCCACAGACCAGATAGGTGGCATACCATAGCCCCTCTGAGATGGTAATTTGGCTGAAAGATCATATTGGGTCAGATGGAGGAGGTCCTCCTAGTATGGGATAAGGCCTACTTGTATTATGACAGTGAGAGGATTGTGGATGAGGAGTAAGGACTACTACTAGTAGTGATTATAGGAGATTATAGGGGGAGTATATAGAACAACTCTTCTAGAATAGTATGCAGTGCCTCAGCTTTTATATTACAAATCAATAGTTCTTATATAGAAGTACTGTTAAGTAAACTACTACTATGATTACAGACACCTCTATGAAGAATATGGCAGGAGTGAATATACTGGTTTGTCAATTGTTCTATGTTAGCAACAACAGATTCTGTTGAAAAATATACCAGTATAATGGGAAGGGGTTTGAGGATTTGGGTAGTGCAAGGTATACTACTGACAAAGAAGTGTGGGCAAGCAAGAAGTCAGGTATGTACAAATGAATGCACGGACTCCTCACACACACAGGCCTCCTGGAAATCATAAATATTTTATAGCTAACATCCTCCTCCAGCCCCAGAGTTGGGCTCCCACATCATAATAGTATTGCTGCACTTTTGTATCCCCTCACTAGAATCTGCTGAAAATGAAGCATACTTTATAATACTGTATACATCATAATTGTCTATCTGACCAAAGGCTGTTTTGAACGAGCGGTGGAACCGGTGGAACGGCAGTAGTAACAGCTCTGGTAATGGCAAATAAATAGGGATCTATCACAACTGGCCAATCGGAAACCAGCCAAGTGATGGGCTGTGAAATGAAACATCAAGCTTATTCATGGTAAAGACTCGGAGATGGCACAAAAAAACCTTTCTTTCACTCTCACCTACTCCTCTAACTATTATACAATCAACTAACTAATGGCAGACATAGGAGAATATATCTACTATAAGAGCGATGCCGACAAAGCATAGTCTCCCACCCCCTTCAGGTAAGTCCTTTCTTTTACACACAAATACACAAACTAACAAAAGAAAAAAAGGCAAACTCGCACTTCTTCCTCCTACCAGGTAAGTCCCCCATATCCTCCAAGCAAACAAGAGAAGCTAATAAAGAATGAAAGACAAACTTGTGCTTCTGCCATGTGCCATTCTGCAGTGGTCTCCTGCTACACTATTCCACAGTGCACTCCTGCTGCCCTATTCCGCTGTGGTCTCCCACTGTGCTATTCCATGGTACTCTCCCACTACATTAGTTCATGGTGCTCTTCCACCATGCCTTTCCTGTACTCCTCTTTCCTGTGCATTCCCATGCTCTCTGTCACACTCTAGTGCTCTTCCTGTGGTCCTCTACTACGCTTCATCCAACGCTCTTCTTGTGGTCCTCCACCACACTCCTTCCTACTGTCCTCCATTATGCTCCTTCCAGCCATGCTCATTCTGCTGTCCTCCACTGCGCTCCTGCTTTCACCTTTCCTCCACACTCTCCCATGCTCCAGTGCTCTGCTGCTATTCTCTTTGTACTCCTGCACTCCACCATGCACTCTCTCCCACACCCCAGCAGTGTGCTCTCTCCAACAACAAACAAACAAGTAAACAATACAAAAAGGAAATGAAAGGGGAGACTGAGGAGATAGGAAATATGAATGGGGAGAGGGGGGGGGAAGAATAGGAGGGTACCGGGCAGGTGTGGGCAGCAGCTTGGACTTCCAACAGGCTGTTCATAGGATATATGTAAGGAGACCTCAGGGCATGTCTGAAAAGCAAAACAGAGTCAATCAGGCAGATAACTGTAGAGCTACAGGATAAGCGAGGTCAACCATCTTGGACATAGTCTGAAAGTGATGGAATAAAATTGCTAACAGTTTAATGAGTTATTGGGATGTGCCTGTAATAATAAGACACATAGTTCAGTCTATTATTTGTATAGAATTGAACCAATTAAAGACCTATTGGTAGTTGAGGGACTTTTCCATAACATTAACTAGTCCAATTGTAAAAGGAAAGTCCTTAGAATGGATGTTGTCTAGTTGTGAAGTTAATAACACATTGATAAATCTCTTAACTGAACTTATTACTCCAGTCACAGAAAGGAGGAGAGTGAGCTGGCTTGAGTAGAAGCCACTTACCTAGTAACGAAAACCTCTAAGGAAGTGTTTGGCCCGTTCATGATTCTGATTTGAGATTAGGTCTTGGGAATTTGAAATCAGATTTTTAAAACCTAAATCAGATTTATTCAAAATCAGGATTTGAGATCAGGATGTACCAAACACCCCCTGATTTGATTTCGATTAGGTTTCAATCTTTATAACAACTATAACTACTCGGTTTAAGAATGCATGTAGCAAGGGATATTTGACTTATAAAATATGTAATAATATATTATTAATAAATCTAATAACAAATTCTATTAAATATGTATAACTTATTTATTATATACATTTATAAATTGATCTCTTTAATCCAAACTTTTGTAGACTCAATAAAAGTAATCTGTAGCAATCTGTGTCCATCTTCAAGCACTGCAAACTACTCAGATTACAAGAAGAGATTACGGCAAATTCAGTATTAGTATGTGAAAAATATTATGCTCCCCTTGTAGTAGCATAATGATTTGATTATTTTAAACTCTAAGATATGCTAAACAAATGTTATTATATAGAGAAACATCTAAATGGAAGAACAATCCAAAGATCTTCTGACACAGTTTGGATTATTGAAGATGATATCATTAGCAGCAACAGCTAGTAGCTTTGTATTAAATGCTCTCATAATATTTGTGTGGCAAAAAAATAACCCTCTCTGATTGATTGTTGTAATCTATCAATTTATCCTAACCTATTAGTGAAAGAATTATCATGCAACAAAACCCCAAATCAAGTATACAAATCTCAAATCAGAATCAGATTTGAAATCAGATTACAATGTGGGTACACCAAATACTACCTGATTTGAAATTATGATTTCAAGTCAAATCACGTTTTCAAATCAGAATCATAGTGGGCCAAACACCCCCTAAGTTTAAGATAAAGAAATCGTAAGCTTCTGCTAGAGAGGTTTCAACAGTCCTCATAGAAAAATAACAGCCTATAAAGAGTATAGTCTAAGTAAGATAAAGGTTTTCAGGCTTAAACAGATCCCAATTATAATAGTCAAGGACAGATATAGAAG